GGAGGGAATGAGAACGAAGGTAAGAGATGGGATTGAGAAGAATGGAAGGAAGGAAGGAAAGAAAAAGAAGAAGGAGATGGGAATGAGAACGAAGGTAAGAGATGGGATTGAGAAGAACGGAAGGAAGGAGAGAAAGAAAGAAAGAAAGAAAGAAAGAAAGAAAGAAAGAAAGAAAGAAAGAAAGAAAGAAAGCCCTGTGCTGCAACCTGGTGCCCTCCGGAAGGACGAGGAGGATGGGTGGCATGGACTATGTAGTCCTCCGGCTCCAAAGACCGCCCTCCCTCCTAAAACTCCTCCCCCCCGTTCCCCATCCAGCCGCTCCAGCTCCATCCCGGCCCGTGCGGACGCGGCGCGCTCCCGGGCCGAACGGCGGGCCAGGCGAGCGGAGCCAGCCCGAGCAGCAGGAGCAGCAGCAGCAGCAGCAGCTGGCCGGCTGGGCATTGACGTCAGAGCGGCGGCCGCACATGATCGGGGAAGCCAATCAGAGGCGCTCCGGAGCGGCTCCTGCCAGGCGCTCCCAGCCCCGGCTCGCCTCCTCCTCCGCCTCCTCCTCCGCCTCCTCCTCCTCCGGCGGCGGCGGCTCCTGGCTCCGGGACACGCGTCCCGCCCGCATCCCGACGTGCCCAAGAGGAGGACCCGCCGGGCAGAGCCTCCCCGTCCGTCGGCCGGCCCGGTTGGAAGCCGCCCGTCGGTCCCCCTTCGCCTCGCCCGCCAAGCGGAGCCCCCGCCGTGCCGTCCCTCCGGAGCAGCAGCGCCTTTTGTCTCTCTCTCTCGGCGGGGTCTCGGCTGCATGGGGGCTCCGCGCTCCTCCGCCGACAGGCTCGGGGGCGGCCGCCGGGGCTGAGACCCCCCCCCCCCTCTCCCCCCCTCCCGCCCCCCCCCCCCCCCCCGCCCCGTCGGCTCCCCGCCCCTCCCCCCTTCCCTCTCTCTCTCTCGCCCCCCCCCCGCTCCTCGCTCGCTCCGCCGGGGAGGGGGTCGCCATGGATTGCACGAGCGGGGGCTGCGGGGGCGGCGGCGACCCCCGCCCGCTGGAGGAGAGCAAGCCGCTGCTGGGCGAAGCGCCCGAAGGGACCAAGAGCGGGGCCGCCCCGTGCCGGCGAGGCGTCCACTGCAGCGGCATGAGGTACAAGCTGCTCCAGGAAGGGGACATTCAGGTGTGCGTCGTGCGGCACCCGCGGACTTTCCTGAGCAAGATCCTCACCTCCAAATTCCTGCGTCGGTGGGAGCCGCATCACCTGGCCCTCACCGACCACAGCCTGGCCTCCGCGACGGTAAGTGGCCGCCCCCGCCAGGAGCAAAAACAACCCCCCCCCCCCCCCCCCCCAACCCTTGGGCTGAATTGGGAGGGGGGTTACCCCTTTACCTGGGTTTGTACTTCGGGCTGTTTGGACACCCCCCCTCCCAATCAAGCCAGGTCTTGGGGTGTCAGGCAAAAGCAGGCAACCCCCCCCCTCCCTCCGGCTGGTTTTGCCCCCAAGGACCTGGCTCGGTGGGGTTTGAACCCACCTTGGCGTGGGCCATCGTGCCAATCTGTGGCTTGGGGGTGGTGGTGGTGGAAGCTTCCCCACAACCTGCTCAAGGTAGACTTTGCTTGCTTGTTCTGGGCAGTGAGGAGGTTCCCCCCCCCCCCCCCCGCCTTTAACCGGCCTCCCCCCCCCCTTTCCCCTCCTGGTGGGGGGGCGGGGGGAGGAGGGGGGCGGCCCCACCCAGGGGTGGAGGTGAGTTGGCACCCCTCCCCCCCCCCACCCTGCGAAAATTAATAATATTTTTTTTGCGAAACCTGGCATGCATGAAGGGTGGTCTTTGAGGTCAAAATAGGTACTTTAGATTAGAACAAAGCCTCCCACAGAAGCAACATTTCGACTTTAGGTTGCTTTAAAAACAAAATTATTCTTAATCTGATTGTCATCTTCTTGTCCTTCGGCAGTTTGGAATCTCTGAAGTTGAAAGGAGCAAAAACATATTTTTTAGTAATTAAAAAAACCCTGTTTGCTAAGGGCTTGCCTTTTTCCCCATTATTTAGAGGGCGATTGTAATTGAATTATTCATCATGACACCTCATGATGGAAGACTTCGCTTCCTCTTTCTTCAACATTCAGCTGCCTGAACTTGGATTTTAATCATTTCCTTCTTTGGAGATTGAGGTTTCTTTGTTTTTTTTAATCAGGTTGGCTGGCTCTTAAAATGCTGACTTATAATTAAAGGGAGAAAGAAGAGCAAATCAAACCTGGGACGGAAACCAAACAGGCTTTGTACGCGTGGAGTGTGTTGAATGGTTCAAGAAACAGCATGCATTTTTTTGTTTGCAGTTGGATTCTGAAAGATACACCCTTTATGAATTTGGCTTTCTTGAAGACCAGAGCCAGGGTTGACCTTTGTTCCCCTTGCTGTGAGGGGTGAGCAAGCTAAGGATTATGGGGAGGGTAGTCCACCCAGTCTAAAAAGCAGGAGGCTGGAGGAAGCTCCTCCTCTTCCTCCTCCTTCTTGGGATTTGAAATGATTGTATTAAATCTCCTGCAACGTCCTTTTCCCTGTTCTAGATTGCAGAAAATGGCAGATGCGTTTGCTCTCTCTCCCCCATCTTAGATAACATATATTGATGGATTTTAGGCTAGTACAGTGATACTATAAGTGTTCTTTATGACAGGCATCTCCAACCTTGGCAGCTTTAAGACCTGTGGACTTCAACTCCCAGAATTCTGGAAATTGAAGTCCACAAGTCTTAAAGTTGCCAAGGTTAGAGACCCCTGCTTTCTGAGACTAAATTTCATCTCGGCTCAAGAAACGTGGGGGTTTACTGCTTCTTGTGCATGTAATGAGTTTTGGCCTTCTTGCAAAGGTGTTGGCAGCGTCTCTTACAGCTCACCATAACCTGCAAGGTTAGACTGCCAGAGAGCAGCAGGCTCAAGAGAGCATAAGGCTAGCAGAAGAGTTAATGGCTCATGCTTCCTTGCAGCTTTGTTGTGGTTGTACAACCCTACCGGTTGTGTCTTCCGAAGCAGCCATTTTTCCAGTTGGCTATCTGAAGTTGATCCTTGGCAACCACAGGTAGACGTTAGCCGTAGTTAGCTGTTTTTTTTTTAGAATTAATTACTGTTCTGGACTTTGGGCCTTTTGATGGAGGTGTTGCTTTTTAGATCCTGCATGACTCACCAGTGTCATATAAATAGTGCAAGGACTATGCTCTTTCCTCCTAACCTGTGGCAGATAGTTCACAAAGCCACATCTTTAAGACTTCTTGTGGTCTGTCAGCTCAGCCCCTGGCTCTTCATTTTGTGGCTGGAGTGAGAGCAAAGTTTATGCAGGTCTCTCGTATTTACCAGCATCCCTGGGTTTATTGCTAAGTAAGGGTACATGCATTGCAGCTTTCGTTTTTTTTCTCTTTATTTATCACCATCTCCCTTTCTGTTCTCTTTTCCTGTTCGTTGACAGAGTGTGGCTTTTGTCTGTGATTGGTTTCAGTGACAAGCCTGCATCTTGTTCACATGATTGAGATGGGAAAGGATTTCCTAATTCTTTGGGTTTTCAAAGCAAGCCAAGTCAGAACAGCCAAATGAAAATATTTCTGGGCAGAGCATTATAATGTTTTTTTGAAGGAGTGCATTTACCAGGTTCTCATCCGACTTTGGCCTGGCATGCTGCACAAACCCTACCTTGCATTTTTAAAATCAGAGTTATGAAACCCAAAGCTATTTTCCAGTGGTAAACAGACCAAGCCATTAGAATATAAATCGAGAACGAAGTCAACTCCCTACCGGCACTAACAGTGTTATCTAGTTTGGTAATGAAGTGTCTTCAAGGAAACCAAGCTCAGAGAACAAAGACCAGTCCTAGCTCTCCTCCTCCACTACAAAACCCCACTCCCTACTAGCACTGATAATGTAACCTAGTTTGGTAATGAAATGTCCGCAAGGAAACGACCAAGTTCAAAGATCACCAAGGAACATTCTTTCCAGTGCTTTATTTGATCATCCTTAATTAATAGTTGTAGGGCACCATGGTACATTAACGTAGCCATAAATCTATTGTGAATTAAAACCGAAATACTGAGTTTGATTCCTCAGTGAAGTTTTATAGCTGTGATTTGATTGGGGATAATGAAAAGCACAGTTATTTCTGCCGTGGTTTTTCTTTTAAGAGCCCTGTGGAATAAAAGGAACAATGAAGTCGCCTAGGTTGGGCTTGGAGTGCATTGTGTCCCAGGGTTTGTTCTAACCCCGGTGTGATTATTTGAACCCATTGAAAGATGGGTTCATCCTACGTGCAAACCCAGGTGAATCACGTGTTAAGTGTAATCTGTGACCCAGCTATTGAATCTGTTGATCCAAAGGGAAGGAGAGAAAAGCCAGCCACGAGAACAGCCGTTAATCCCATTGTATTACTTGCTAAAAGTCCCCCCCCCCCAAAACACCCCAGTATTTGTATTTCTAGTCTACTTTTCAGTGGCCGAAATGCCTCATATATTTCTTTGTGAGCTTTCTGCCCCCTTTCACTCTCCCTTCCCGCCCTATTCCGTCTTCCAGATGCCCACCTCCTTCTCCTGCCCTTTGGCTCCCTGGAGATTTCATGGAAATCAGGGCAGTGGCAGAATCCTGGGCAAGAGGCTTGTATGCTGAAACACCAGATCTTCACTTGACACCTGAGGTCTCGCCCTCTACCCTCCTCCCAAAATGAAACACCACTCCACTCCCACCCCTGGGAATTTTTCAGTAATCCTTTTCTCTTTGAAAGATGATCCCAAGCAAATTCCTTATGGAATTGGAGTAGCAGGGTTGTACCGGGTGGTTCCTTTTCTGCACAGCATTAATCCAAAAGGCCGGTCGTTTCCTGGTTCATCGTTATTCCATCTCTTCTCCTTTGCTGAGGATCTGTCTACTTCTTTTTCCTCAAGTCAAGGTGCAGTCCTTGACTTAAGACCGTCAATCGAGCCCTGAATTGCAGTCGTGGCTCGTGGCTGTTGTTAAGAGGACACCCCATGGCTGTGCCTGATGGTATCACCTTTTTTTGCTGGGATCGTTAAGCAGACACCGTGGACATTAAGCGAACCTACCAGATGTTAGGCGAATCTGTGTATTTTTGCTGGAAACTGGAAGTAAACATTGGGAAACAGCTCAAGTGATTGCAGGATGTTGCCAATGGCCTGGTTGCCAAAAATGCAATTATGTGACAGATGTCATAACTTTGAAAAACAGTTGTAAATAGCAATAGCACTTAGACTTATATATTGCTTCACAGTGCTTTACAGCCCTATCTAAGTGGTTTGCAGAGTCAGCCTCTTGCTGACTCTCATTTTACCCACCTCGGAAGGATGGAAGGCTGAGTCAACCTTGAGTCTGGTGGGATTTGAACTGCCAAATTGCAGGCAGCAGAAGTAGCCTGCAGTACTGCGTTTCTAACCACTGCGCCACCGTGACTGATACAGCTCTGAGGATATCCATTGCTACTTATAAAAATATGCTGACACTGTATATTGCTCAGAGAGGGCTATAAAGTACTATGAAGCGGTATATAAGTCTTAAGTGCTATTGTTAAGGGACCCTGGATGGTTTACAAACAAGCTAATAAAATAATATAAACATATGAATAAAAGTGCTATTGCTTAGAAGAAGAAAGTGAGATAGAAGCGTTTTCAGGAAGTTCTGAAGTTTCTGAAGACTAGAAGTTGGCAGAACTGATGAGTGATGAACTGGACTTTTTAAAGTAGATTGGTAGAAATGAGGAAATAGACTTATTATAAGCTAACTGGACAACAATTGTTTAGAGACATTGTGTTTAAACCTCTAGGTGATTTTTTTTTTTGAGCAACAAATACTGTGGAGATATCTATCACAGAGGCTTATGATTTTGGGAATGAGATCCAATAGTTGGGAAAGATCCCAGTTAAATTTTCTAGAGAAGTTATGATCATCTACATTGCCATTGTCCCCTTTACAGTGCAGCCGTTGGCAGGTGCAAAGAAAGCCTTCACTTCTGCCCCCAGTGTGAAATTTTCAGCCTTTCTTCAGCACAAAACCAATTCAGTTCACAGCCAAAAAGCAAGTTAAAAACATAATCTAATGCTGGCATTGGATAAAACAGTTTAACCAGTAACATATTTAATAAATATGACATAATAATAGACTTGAAATCCTTAACTGTAGAAGCAGAGCAGGCGGAGCCTGGAGGAGGAGTCAAGAGAGGAATCAGCCTAGAATTGTTACGTTCCCATGAAGAGTCTTAAGTCCAACTCGAATTCTGTTGACCCTTATCTAGCACCAATTTAGTTGACTAG